AAAAAAGAGCTATTTTGCCTTTTCCCTCATTAATATGCACGATTTGCCCGCCAAAAATCAGTGAACGGGAACTAGGACAATCACAGCAGCAGCAAATAGGACAAGAGCTAGTTTGTCTTTGCCCTCATTAATATGCACGATTTGCCCGCCAAAAGTCAGTGAACCGGAACCAGGACAATCGCAGTAGCAGGAAATAGGACTTGCATAATTACGTTACGTCTCAGTGATTTTAAGTCAGAGACAAGTTTGACTTTACTCCTCAGGCACTATGAATTAACCAATGAAAACTTTTCTTATTTTCTAACTAATCAATAGAAAACGAAGACGTCTATCGACCTTAAAGTAACTAGAAAACCTAAAGCAACTTAAAATAGCACACGACCTTATGTTAATGAGATTCCACCGCAAGTTAATGAGATTCCTGCGCATTTTATTCATGAGATCAAGACAAAAGGTTATGACGTCATTGGCGTTAATGTATTCTTCCGCACTCTAATGAGAATCCTCCGCAAAAAAGGGGCCTAACCGGTGCGCCCTATACTACTCACTGTCAGCCGTTTTGCCTTGTCCGTAGGCCTTATTATTTCGCGCGGCTAATGCGTTTCGGGTCACGTGGTCCGAGCGAGTTCGCCAACGAAATTGCGTGGGAAGACGCCGTACAGGGACTAGGCATGGCAATGTCTATCGTAGCGTCAGAGAAAAACAGGGAAATGTTGTTTATCGGCAACTTGTTTTACAAACAGTGAGATCTCTTCGTGTTGTTTCACTAGTGTTTCGAGGGCACGACCTCCTGAAAATCGCAGATATTAATCCCCAGCAAGAAGCCACACTTTCGCTATGGAAAAAAAAATTAGTTCCCCGAGAGAGCGGCGGAAATGGAAATGGTTCTTGGTTGGAAATCGTGTCTGTTATTTACAGCCCCCGAAATGATCCCGACCCCGAATTGATCCTCAACCCTGAATTATTTCCGGGTGGGTGTCATTTCGGGGTCCAATTGGGGATCATTCCCGGATCGGGTCATTTCGGGGGCTGTACAGTTCATTTACAACTTGTCACTTTCGTTCAGAAACAAAACCCACACCGTATCGTAGTGTTGTTTGAAAATATGTATTTCTATTGCACGTACTCAATGAAATCGAAAATATTATCAATGCTGGAAAGTGGGTACTTTTTGAAAATCGCAAAAAATTAATTCCCAGCAAGAAAAACCACTCTGTACTAATCGCACAACTTTGTTCCCGCAAAACACAAGAAGTCACCAATCAGCAAAAATAAACTCCCGCAAAAATTTCGCGCCACACGGTATGTAAGTGAAATCTTTTGCTATATCATGTAGTTTCGTTCTTTAGTAGTGGACAGAAGCAGACGAATGTTGTTGTACAATTTAGATTTAAGTTTAATTTATTTATCATTGCATCGTTGTTATTTCGGCCCTTCAAAGTATCATTGGAGATATATATAGCAGTGGAGACCGGTGGAGGCCATTTTCTTGGGAATGACAGTGTGCGGATCTGACTGAAAAATTAGACTGTTTGTCGGAATTACATCCGACGCAAGTACGGCGCCGGTACTCGACAGCTAGATAAAGCTGTCATGGACAAGCGATTTGTTGACTCTTTAAAATTAAAAGATTCTTTATTTATTGCAAATTTTACAGTATGTATTGTTGAGGATCTTAAGGTTCTTTCAGGGACAAGACTCGGCCAAGACGTGTTTCCAGGTCTACGGAGCAAATGATACGAAAATAGCTTTGAGTTTCCAACATCTTCCACTTCAACCGCTCTACAAACCTCATAGTTGGACTGAATTGTTTCGGACAAATAATTTTTTGCGACGTTTCAGGGGCATCCAAGGACAGTTATAAATGCATTGAAAACGTTTGAAGAGTACCGTATTTATTCGAATAAGCGCCCAACCTCTAATTAGCGCCCACCTCGAATAAGCGCCAATCCTAAAGGCAGAAAAAGTTAATAAGCGCTCAGCCTCGAATAAGAGCCTACCCCACCCCACCTCCCTCCCGATCCCACTCAAACTCAATAAAGCGCCCACCCCCCACCCCACCCACATTCCCCCTCCCACCCCCCCAAAATTGAATAAGTTTTAATAAGAGACTTCCCCGAAGACGGAGTTTTCTTCAGAGTATTTTACAGAAACCTTGCTTTGTTAAATCTTCACGTTTTGTTATTACTAAATAAACGTACTACACTTGCTGAGAATGTTGAAAATTTATATTAAGCGCCCAGCCTCGAATAAGCGCGCCAGGGCCGTTAATCGAATAAATACAGTACTTACAGATCTCTAGAAATCATATTCTAAGTGGCGCTAAAAAATTTTTATCTTTTCGGTCATCCTTGGGCAACTTGAGTCGTTTCGAAATTACAAAGGCTTCAGTATTATTTTCCCGAAAATTTTAGCCGCAATTTAAAGTTTTACGAAAGTGAGAATTTTTCTGATCCCTCTCTGCATCGCATTTCGATTCCGAAACTTTTAGGTTTCCTTTCTTTAGGAAAAATAGCTAAACCAGGGGAGTGAAATGAGAAAAATGAAACTTCAGAAAATCGTATTAGATAAGCTTCGAAAACTGTACATGAATGGAGCGGTCCTCTAGAAATTTTTATCCTTCCCCAGCTATAGAAACTTCTAGACAATTTTTGTTTCTCCGAACATACATTTTACAAAAAACAGTCGTTGAGTGCCCCCGTTGGCTCTCCCCTATCTTTCCGTTAACGCCATTTTTAAATACCGTATTTATTCGATTAAACGCCGTCCTCGAATAAACTCCCCCTCGATCAAACGCCGCAGATGGAAGCAAAATTACCAGTAAACGTCGCCCTCGAATAAACATCGTACCTAATCAGAGGAATGCGGCTTTAACTGGAGGATAATAAAAAAAAAACCTCGGTACAAATTCTTGGTAATCTATACCATCCAGACATTTACGATTCTATCCCAGCAAAATAAGGGAGACATTGGAACCGTTAAATTACATAATATTTACAAACGATCTACAATAACTGTTGTCAGTGATTTTAAAAAAGTGATTTCGAAATAAACGCCACATTGGAAACGCCAAAACTTTAATAAACGCCATGGCGTTCAATCGAATAAATACGGTATGCGGATTGTTAACTAGCAAAAATTGTCCATAAGAACGGTTTAATAATCATTTTTGCACCTGACAGCACCATTAGCTTAATAGCCAGGGGCATCCAACGACAGATTCCTCCTAAATGCATAGAGACACTTTTTAGGCTACCCCAAGTAATTTCATACCTCTAGGAGCTATATAGAATTTGCATCTGTTCGGTCATCCCAAAGCAATTTCTCTCCATCACATTTTTTAATCGGAAATATTCAGTTTCTTTTTTCTACGAAAACTAGCTTAATCTGGAGAGTGACTTGCGAAGAACTAAATTTCAGAAAATCGAAGGGAAATCATTAGATAAGTTTTGAAAGTGAACGTGAAAGGGGCGGTCACCTAGAGATTTTTAGCCATCCTCAAGCTTTAAAAAAGTCTAGGCAATTATTGCTTCTCCAAACAGATATTCTACAGAGAAGAGTCGTTGGGTGCCCCTGACGTTTTGACGAGTTTTTCCGGCGCGAGTTTTTTGGCTGAAGTTACGTTTAAAACTTTTCAATTGAATACAACGAGAAATTCTGCAGCAATTGCTGGGAGTTTCAACCTTCTTCGATCATTCAGCTACGTTATTATATTTTTCTGCAATCGTTTGGAGCATGTTTCAAAGAGAACAAAAAAGTTAACAAATCTTATTCACGTTACTTACGCTATGTTGACAAGCTGTCAATTAATAAACGAACGGAACCGTAAAATATCAAAGGGCGTTTTCCAGATGTCAATTTGATAAAACCTTTACAAGTGTAATTTACTAGTGTAGCTATTGGTTTCGGGCCCTAGAACAATGGCTACTCTTGTCAATTACACCTGCAAATGTTTAATTAAATTGACCCCAGAATCGCGGAAGTTTCGGGCAAGTGTTTCCTTCTTCTCCCCTCCCCCTCCCCCGATTTTCTCCAAATCGAAGCGGCCTTTTCGAAAAACTGGCCGCCGGTTGCTCGATATTTGTAGACATTCACTCTTGAGTCCCGACTCCCGAATGGGGGATTGAGCATACCTGCGTGTTAAAATCTCCAGTTAGAGCTGTTTTAAAAAACACCGTCTGTTGATCTGAAATGTGTAAACGTCGGCTAGAAATGATGGTCTTCCATGGGTCTCTAGAGTTGTATGAGATACTTAACTGACCTGTACCTGTTCAATTTAAGGCTTCACAAGGATGACCCACCCATTTTTCTACCTGTCTTCCCATCTACTTATAGTACTTTCCTTATACCTTATACCTCACAAACCTAGCTATTTACCTTCCTAACCCTACCTAATTACCTACATACCTACCTTCCTACTTTTCAGTGAGACGTACCTACAGGCTACTTACCTATACCCTGCCAACCTACCAGCCTGTCTACCTTCCTACATACCTACTTACTTCCAAGCTACCTGTGCTCTTCTTCATATCTACCTGAATACTTACCATACCTACCTACCCAACAGTACCAAGTGTACCTATCTACCTACTTTGATTGACAGCTCCAGGTCAGCGTGGTGAAGACCCAGTTCTCCAGCCTGGTGATTACTCCTATCCATTTCAGTTTCTAATCCCAAACATTAACGTGCCGACCTCAGTAGAAGGAAAGTATGGTTATGTTCGCTACTGGTTGAAGGGAATTGTTGACCGCCCATGGAGATTTGATATCACTACTATAGCAGCCTTTACTGTATTGGAATATGTGGACATCAACACCCCTCTGCTTCTGGTAATTGTTTAAATTTTCAATAACATAATGATCTTTCCCTAGCGAATCAATGTATCGGGTCTGTGCTTAGGCCCAGTTCAGACGTCGTGCTTCTTCCGTGCCGAACTTAATTGTAATTTGGTTCGACTGTAGCACGGCAGGAAAACAACTTTAATTCAGACATCGTTCCAGAGTCGAACCAAATTCAGGATTTACTGATGCCTCGTAACAATCCTTCTCCCAACTCCCCGTGGGAACGCGATCTCGCCAAAATACATTAATATAATTTATGAATTTTGTTTAGCGCGGCAGAAGCACGACGTTTGAATCGCTGCCGTGCCAGAGCCGTGTAGCACGGCAGCGCTTGTCGAACTTAATTGCTTGCCGAACTTAATTCAAAAGTTTGATTCAGACGCCGTGCTTCTGTCGAACTTAATTCCTGAATTTAGTTCGGCACGGCAGAAGCACGACGTCTGAACTGGGCCTTACTCTTGCAAAGCTTTTTTCCCATGAGAAAATACAGAGAGAGGAAATCTGAAAACATTACTAAGTTATTGTTATAACCTTTATCATGGGACCTAGGAAAACTTCAGGAGACAAATTTTGGTAGACTCAATTTTAATTTGTGATTCGGAATAAGAAAGTGGTTTTGAAAGGAACAACATTTTCCAAGTATCGTTACGATGGCAGCATGGTTGTACTCAGTATACATGACTGAGGCTATAGTTGTATCCTATTATTTAAAGTGCCATAATGAAGGAGTAATTTTGGAAGAAAACTGGCAGAGTATTTGCATCGTGAGAGTGCAAAAACTGGCAAAGAAAAGTCCATTCTCGTCCTCAGAGCCTCCTGGGGGCCTGAGCACCAGGAACTGGAGGCTCTGGGGAAACAGGATCTAAAGTCCTAGATTTTAGGACTTCAGATCTTTTCTTATTTTCTACAACGTTTCTAATGGCGTTCATTTGCTCTTGCCGAATTATCAATAATAAGACCGTAAATTTAGGTGATTCAAAGCTTTTAAAAGAGAATCCTCCAACTTCCTTTTGAATCGGAAATGACCGGAAGTCCTAAAATCTAGGACTTAAAATCTTGTGTCCCTAGAGCCCCCTGGTCCTCGTGCTCAGGCTCCCAGGAGGCTCTGGGGACGAGAATGAGGAAAGTCCCTAAAGACCCCTATTAATAGCAGTTTGCTAAGCCTCTGAAAGGGCTACCCTAAAGTAAATGATAAGAAAAGGGCTCTCTCCAAATGCCTAGAAATTAGTAACAGTAAAATCTAATACCACCACATATTTCAACTCTTACTTCATCAGCAACCTTGTCAGGTACAAGAGGATCGTGATGTGGGATACCTGTGCTGTATATCTGGTCCACTCAGTACTACTGTCTATACTGACAGAGGAGGTTACTGTCCTGGAGAATCTATTGGTGTCTCGGCAGTCTTTACCAATAATTCCAAAAGTGAGGTTACTGGGTTGGAGATACAACTTATTCAACTCACTGTCTTCATTGCTTCTGGTGGTGGGTTTTAAAGAACCAGTTTCACACTTAAGAACGAGGAATTATTCAGTAGCTAATTAAGGTTGATTCCGAATTTAAATGCCTTCTCTGTTTTGACTGGCAGTGGGAAGCACTCAATCTGCAAATACTTCTAACTGTTACTATATCATTTTTACGGTGTGAAATATATATTGATCAAGCCTCAAAGACTAGGAAAGAGGTTTAATTAATGCTTCACCTCTTGTTGGCGACGAAAAAAAATCCTAATATAGGCTCCCTACCCACTGTTAATAGTTGACAACTTGCTGCCTTTTGTTGCATGTACCACCATTAGCAATTTGACAATGATACCAAATTTTGGTAAACCTTCTTTAGCTTTCTTTTCGTAGGAAAAATTTTCAAAATCTGAAAGAATAAAAACATATAACTACTGTTACTAGTGGTTCCTTTTAGAAGGTGAAGTGCTGCGAGCAGAGGGTTTAGTTATCATATTTCTTAATACTGGGAGAAAATATTGGGAGATTTTGAGTACTAATGTCTAAATTTTATTATAGTACAGATCAAGGATAATTTCACTACTGTCAATACTCTGAAAAGAATCGCTCGAGCTTTCTTGCAAAGCTTCAGCATAATTTTGCAGATTACGTTTGGAGAGTTCGCCTTGTTTTTGACTCAATTGGGTCGCTTGGCTCATTGCCCACAAAGCATATTCCCTCAGTTATTTGTTTCTGTGACCACAAAGGGTCGTTTGGCACATTGGCCACCGAGCAAATCAACCTTATTCCCAGGTTCTCTCTCCTACCCGTCTCGCTCCGCAGGGACGGATAGGGAAGAACCCTGGGAACGAGGTTGCCAGCAGATTCGCTCACTTCAGTTTGTTTGTCATAGATCAGAGAAAATCGGCTCAACTCGTGATTCGGTCTGTAGGTCACTTTCTGTCTCTCCTTTCGTATCAACAACTTTTTTAAATCAATGATACTTTGAAAGAAAAAAACCGAACAACTCCTTAAGTTTCACGGGAGCGCAAAGGAGTACAAATTATACTTCCCAAACACAGAAGGTTTCCAACACGAACTGTCAAGTCACTCTAGTGAGTTGTGAAATGGGCAAAAGGACGCTGGAGAGAAAGCACGTGCTTGAGCCAACGTTACAAAGGTCAGCTGTGTTGCCGATCCACACGAAAGCAAGGCAAAGTGAACTACTACAAGCGTCGAGGATAACACTGGCATCTGAGTGAAATAGGTCTGCTGCGAGCGTAGCGAGCAGCAGATATAGAAATTTAGTACTAAACTGAATTAATTTAACAAATTTTACAGTAACTGCTGTGAAACTCAAAAAGCTATTAGAAATTGAGTCTCCTTGTACCATTTGGTCTGTTACTGAAAATGATTGGAGAAGGCTAACCTCAGGAATAGGGCCTATGTGGTAGCTTTAGCTGTCTTAGGGACCGGTCATTATTTATCACCTGGGGGGGAGGGGGAGCGGAAGATTTGGGACTAAACAAGGTGAGATTTAGCCGATCCCCCCTTTGAATGTTACTTCACTGAAGTGATCCGCCTTAATGACTTTTGATGACTTTCGCCATACCCCCCGCCCAATGTCTTCATTTTCCAAGTACATTTTAGTGGTCCCCCCTCTTATGAATCCTTCCAAAGTTTTCAGCGATCCCCCCTTTTGGGTTCTCATTTACGACTGATCCCCCCTTTTGTTCTCCCAAAAATCAAGTGATCCCCCCTAAAATCCTTCCCCCGCCCCGTCAGGCGATTAATAATGACCGGTCCCTTTTCATGTATGATCCCTTCTTGACTCTCATCTTCATTATGATCTTTATCTTCGTCATCATCATCATTATCTTAATTTTATTTCTAGGAAAACAAAAACAACGAGAAGACATGGTTGCCGAGACCACGTCTCAAGAAGGAGTGAAGCCTGGGGAAGAGACTCGCATAATAGTACCACTTCCAGTCCCCTCTCTGCCCCCGACCACGATGGGTTGCAGTTGCATAAAAGTATCGTATTTTCTAAGGGTAATTTACTCATTTTCTGTCCGGCATTTAATTAATTTGTTTAAAATGCCCGATGTGTTTTGACGACTGTCATTTGCTACCAGTGCCATAATGACAGTACTTGAATCTGAGGTGACCGATGAAATTTTCGTAGTACAGTTAAGAACCTCACTTGCCCAAGCTATAATTTTCCTTGCAATCTGAGGCTTCTCATCGCGAAAAAAAAATGAGAGGAAGGAGATAGTTTCTTTTACCCTGAGAGACCTTAGCTAGCAAGGAACAAATTATTTTCCCTGCCGAGGTTTGCTTCACTTAACTCTTAAAAACCTTCATTTTCATTGGCAAACTAACCCTGAAAATGCTCAAATAAGATGACTTGGAATGACCAATAAATAATTATTCTTCCCACTGTCTTTCTCACACATCTACTGAGAAGGGTGCTGGGTTGGTGTAGCTTAGACTCTCGTTTAAATGTGATATAAAATCGAGTTCAACGCCAACAGTTGTAGATCAATTCGGTCCTGTGGCTTATTTAGTTTTCTTGTCTTCTTACAATAGCTGAAAGTTAAAGTGGATGCAGCCTTCATCTCAGCATTACACATTAAAAAAATTCCCATCACTATCGGCTCAGTTCCGTATCGGCCTCCTCCTCCAGCCCAGTTCCCGCCTCCAGGTGCCGCTTTGACAACTCCTAGTGCTCCACCACTGGCAGAATTTGAACGAGCGTCAGCTTATCCACCAGCCTCTACACAGTATGGTGGCCATGCACAGACGTACCCAAATATTGGTTAGGAAAATTCTGTATCTTGTCTACCGTAGAATTCCGAAAGTAATGCCTCCCCGCCCCCCTCCTTGAAAATAACAGCTACCCGAAAGTAACGTTACTTTATTCTTCACCTTCCCCCACCCCCCTCCACTTCCCCCGAAAGACGCGGCCCTCCGAAAATAACCCGTCAACTACAGTAAAACGCAGCATTATATTTGATGCCCCTACCCTCTAACGCAGACTTCTTTCCCGCTGTCGCTGCAGAAACAAGGGACAGCCTGAGTGATTCTGCGTTCACGGGTGAATTTGCTGTTTTGTTAAAAAAATGCCAACACTTAATGATACTAATTCGATCTGGAAAACTGACACGCCTAGCTATTGTGTGGGTAGACAAAGGAACCTACAATTAAGGAGGTAAAAAAATGCACAGCAAAGTGGTCAACGATAAGCAGTTTGGGGAAACTAAGTAGACGGCCCTGATAGACTGTTTGTGGATTCGTAGTCGATCTCGAATGGTAAAGTTTAATTATATCTTGCATAATGTATTAAGAAATATATAAAAGCTGGTTCTGAGTATACTGAAACATTTGCAATTACGAATAAGAATATTTGTTTTAATGATTTTTTTTTTCAGTATATCGTTTCGAAATAATTTTTTTATGGTCGTCAAATCAGCATACCAAATGGACCAAATACAAAGGGGAAAAAAAACGGCTCAGAACTCTGTGACTTCGAGTTGACTTGGCTAAATGCAACATTTCTTGTTTTGATTTCAGCTCCTCCTTCGTACGCAGAGTGTGTTAGCGGTGGAGCGTCTATCGTTGATGAAGGTGATAAAAAGACGCTGGGTGATACCAGCTTTACACCAATGTACCCGTTTGTTAATAACTACCAATTTCCCTCCGCACCGCCTCCTTCATTTCTCTAAGAGGAAAGTACGATCAGCTTCGAGTTAGCAGCCGCAAGCCATGTTATTTATTAATAAGGTCAACAGTAGGCTATCGCAGGAGTGGGTGCCTTTATAATTAGCATGCAGATTTAATTTGAACGTGCACCCACAGCGTAAAAAGAACTGTGTAGAATGATGTACTTGAATGTACAAAAGTGGACTATTTAAAATACTGTAAAGTGCCAACAGTTTTCGCAAAATACCAGTGCATGGAACTGATTTAGTCTATCATTTTGTGGAAAAAAAGTAGCTTAACCTAGAACCAACTGCAACAGAAGATATGCCAACTGTTTTAGACTTAAAAAACTAGCCTTAATTGATAACGTAACAAAAGTCCCAAAACGTCCCAGCGTGGGAATTTGCTTAAAAACGGGTTTAACTGAGAGGATCTGAAACCCCTGCTTATTACAGCATGGAAACGAGGCTTGTCAAAAGACTTTTTTTAACGCTCATGCTAAAATTGTAATCTGATAAGCTTAGGGAAAATATGGAAGTTACTTTAATTTATTTATGCCTTAACGGGTTGTATACCTGGGAAATATTAAATAATGGGGCTCATTGAACGATCAAGAACGAACGATCATAATGGCGCGTCGCGTGTAGATTTACAATGCAACGGCGTGTTGCTGTTTTCACGGAAATGTTTTCTCTGCATTGTGTGTTGGTTTAAATAACAAATTTTAGATAACTGAAGAAATTATAAATCACGTTTACTTACCGTTCGTGTGGGAAAGAAGAATGAAGACAAAAACACAATGATCTGTTTAGTTCAGCGGCGCTTTCTGGTAAGCTTGAGAAACTCAAGTAATCCAGAATTTTTCACTGTGGTTGGGTTTTGTCTTCCATTTCCACGTGGTTGTATTTGTAAACTCTCTCCAAAAAATGGCTTGAGATGTGAGTCGCAGGTTAGATTATTTTAATTTTTCCTAGGATTCAGTAGTTTTTACAAGTCAGAGCTCAAATTATTCTGACTCCCTAGCTGATTTTTATTTCCGTAGCCTAAATCCTGTTGAAGCTACAGAGGGAGGAAGAAATCAGGGACCAGGGGTTCGTTTCGCTAGAGATCCGGAAACTTTTCGGGCCCGAAGGCAAATTTTAAAATCAAAACCTGCTGAATAGTAGCTCAGTTCCTAGCTCACAAACCAGCCAATTTTGCTTCGTTAACTGATAGGTTCATTGTATTATTTTCAGAAACGGGCCCCAGGTCCTAGGGGACCAAAAATGCCCCTAATAAATGAGGTTAAATTTTACAATCTTCCCACGTTCGAATCTTTTAGAACTTTTAGTATATTTATCTATACTCTAATCCTAAATGACTGGCGAAGAGAAGGCTTCTGTTGCAATTATTAGTTCCGGGTCCAACCATAAAATTGGCCCGTTGTATCGCAAAGTCCTGCAAACCGCGAAAACTCTTACAATAGACCTATTCGGCTAACTCAATGTTGTACCCAATTCAAACCCTTTGGGAAAAAAAGGTTTTGTTTTAGGAATTTCCATATCATTTCAATGTGAATGCCACGTTATAATGCAAATACAATACACAAAGAATCTTAACCTCGGGAGATTTGAATTGGGTACAACACTGAGTTGGCCGATAAGCTCTATGACTTGTTTGTTTTCCTCTCCTATCTCTGACTCTAAAGTGAACAGCGAAGATCATCCATTCTCATGTACAGATGTCAGTGTTGCCGAATTTTTATTAGAAGATTATTACAAAAAATTTTAAAAGCTAATAATTTCGTGAGACGAAATTCCAAAAGCCAAGTGATATTTTAGGGCCCTAGTAGAAATTATTTCATTATTAGAACACGTTTCAGAGGTTGCTATGATATTAAAAGACAGTATTGCCAAAGTACTTTAGACCTCAGTAGTAATATTAACTAATAAGCGCGAGAAAACAGACAAGCGTGGGTGACACCCCTTCTTAGAAAAGAGTCTTTTTTCTGTTTCCGATGGATTTGCGAATTCGTGTTGTCGACTGAACCAGGATATATTTTCGAATGCAATTATTATGCGGTTTCAGCCTGCCCTTCTCGGCGGGGCCTGAGTCATTCTGTTCATGGAATGAAGCGTTGTACATGCATGTAGCTAATAGGCCACTTCCGAGTTCCAAAAACCCTCACTTTCAGGATGAGGCTAGGTGCACAACCTTTCTTGTGAAAATGAGTTTTGCATGAGAATGAAAAATGATTTTCCTATCAAAGGCTGAGCAACTACCCTCGTTTTGAGACAGAGGCCCGGGGGACCTCGGAAAATGGCCTAATAATGTGAAGAAATGAAATAATAGATATTACTTCCATAAAAGAGGTGCTAAGCCTAGAAATTCAAAGAATCCCTCGCTGTTTTTTTCAGCTTTCCAAATAAATGCATATATATGCATCACTGTCGTTTTTCGTTGTTGTTTTTTGTAATGTCAATGTGCAGTCAATAATTATCTTAAGTTCCTGAATGGTTATGTTACCTGATGTGACAGCCGATGGTCACCTTAGTTTTAATTTTGTAGTTTTTTCGCCTGCCAGTTTTTTTATGTAGTTTTATTTTAAACCCGACTCGATCAGCCAAAACTATTTTCGGGTTGGGCTCGTAATAAAAACATTTATTTTATATTTATTGTTAAATGACGAAAACTATATATTAATCAAACCCGGTCACGAGATCTTTCATGGTTGCTTGACTCCCCAATCCTCTTGCAAATATGCGCCTTTTAAAAAATTTAAATATGCAAATTATATCATGCGGGAGTAGTTTCTCTGCTCGCAATCTGCGAAAGTGTTTATGTTTCTACTACATTTCGGTGCGGGTTTTAAAAATTACAGACTACCAGACAACTGAAGAGGCGTTGTCCCTGTAGAATGCAGACGATGTAACTTCAACTGGAAATATGGAAACAATTGAATTGTTTGCAGTTGAAATTTACGGCAACGGACGCTATTATCCAGGCGAAGTTATTTACGGCGATGTTTTTCTTAAAACAAACGAGGAATTAACTTTGCGCGAAATTCGTGTTGAATTTTACGGAGAAGCTAAGGTCTACTGGACCGAGGCAGCGAGACCGAGCAGGTGGTCAAAGCGACCGGGCCTCATGCGGGACTATACAAACTATGAACAGTATTTAAACATTGCAGCAACAGCTTTTGGCAAAGGTAAGGGTTGTATATTTACCGTGCTGAGAATTTAGACTATATTGAAGGTATGAAACATATACATTCGACTTTTTTAGAACTCGCAAAAAACCTTGGGTTCGAAAAATCTACATTAAAGCTCAAACGTCAAATGCGAACACTGAGCAATGATCAGAACCGAAGTAAAATTACTTAATATTTCTTCCTCTCTCATTGTGAATTAGTGTTGTTTACACATTTGCATTCATAAAAATTCAGTAGCCATACGTTTGAGAGTCCTTTGGTCATAGTGGCTCCTAACATGTGCTCAAGACCTTAGACCACGCGCGAACGCAGAAGCTTTTCCGGTCGTCGCTTCAAGACCCCCTCCAAGTTCAATCCCACTACTTCGGCTGCTAAGTACAATAAATTGGAAGGCCTTCAAAGTGTAATGTGTATAATAATATTGGGAAAACAAGCTTCGATTTTCCTCCATCGCTGATTAGTGGTAGCAACATAACTTCGCCCTAAAGGGGATTTTTGAAGTTTTTCTAACTTCAAAACGGGAAAATGTAGCTTTTTCTCCCCCATCCCCTCCATGCAATGTTGTGCGCTGTTCGCGAGCTACCTCAAGAAAACAGCAAACACCCCAACTTCGAATGGAGGGGACAGGGGAGGGGTGTGGAGTTTTTTCGTTCTTTGAAGTCCTCCCTACTGAGTAAAATGTCTCAACAAAATTTTCACCGATTGTGAGGTCTGATTCTCGTTGGCATTTTGAGTGGTCGCTTACGAGAGGTTCGACCGTACGGGATTGCAGCCTCTCACCCCTCCCTCGATATAATAAATAGCTTGAAAAGCCTAGCAGCGATCGAGACTATCGTACCAGTCATATGGACTTCAAGTTTTTATGATAACCTCGAATAATGATAAAAATTTTTCTTGCTCATTTATTCTTTTGCTAGAATGAAGATGATGTGAACTGCGGAAATGCAAATTTAAATGAAGATATCATCGTCTCAGTGGTAATTGCAATTTAAGCAATTGCAGATTAACCCGAAAAAATTTCGCGACTTGAACGGGACGTGAACACATGGCCTCTGCGTTAGCGCTGCAGTGCTCTACCAACTGAGCTACGAAGACCCACAAATTGGGAGCAGGCCAATTTGTTGAGTTCATCTTAAGCCGTGAAAAGGAATGAAACATAGAATGAAGATGATGTAAACTGCGGAAATACAAATGTAAATGAAGATATGATCGTTCCAGTGGCAATTGCAATTTTAGCCATGGCAACTAGACCCGAAAAAATTTCGGGACTTCAACGGCATTTGAACCCTCGGCCTCTGCGTTACCTCTTTAGTGCTCTACCAACTGAGCTATGAAGACCCAACATTGGGACCTGCTGCAGGGGTCAATTTAATAAAAGTGTAATTTACAAGTGTAGTTATTGTTTTCAGACACTAAAACAATGGGTACTCTTGGAAACTACACCTTGACCGGTAAAAGGAACAAAACATGAAATAAGTTGATGTGAATTGCTAAAATTTTAAAATTCTTTGCAGCCCCTGGACAGCCCGGCCCTAATCCCGTCCTCTCGGCTGGTGAACACTCATTCCCCTTTGAATTTCGAATTCCGGAGGAGAATCTGCCTTCCACTTATGAGGGGAAACATGGTCATGTGAAATACTGGCTAAAAGCCATCCTTGATCGGCCATGGAAGGAGGACAAGACAGTCGTAGAGGCTTTCACTGTGACAGA